GAGCAGGTCCCTCCATCAGCGGCGGTGGTTCTTCCCGTGTCGAGTGGGTTGCACACATCAGGCTGCACTACCCCCTGTTTGTGTTGCAGGCGGCCATCTCCCCTGTGCGCTTCAGCACACTAAAAGAGCAGTTCTAAAAGAGCACTCACGGGTGGAACGTCTTTTTAAAGACGCCCTTCCATCCGGTCTCTCTAAGCGAGATCCCAATTCGTCGGTCATCCGACGTGACGTCGAGAGTGACCGACTGAAAGGGAACTTAAAGTTAAAGTGAAGCAGTCACTCAAGTTTACATTATTTAGTAAACTGATTTCCACTTATATATATATATATATATAATAACGTGATTAATGTAACCATTTTAAAGAAAAAAAGGATGTTTTGTTACAGCTTTTGGACAGCGCGAAAGAGAACTCAACTTGGATATCATATTTGTTATATATTTTTTAATTAAAGTGGAAATCAGTTTACTAAATAATGTAAACTTGACTGATTGCTTCACTTCCACTTTAAAGCCAATTACACAAGAGTTAGAGAGCACATTCCGCTTAATGATGAGTTGGCTTTTATTTGACATTTTCATTTTTTTTTTTAATAAGTCAGCTTTTTTTTTTTTTAAGTTCATTTCTCTAAAATGGCTGCTTGTTTCTCCTTTTTAATACTCTTTTCATCACCTATGAAGAAAGACTTCTTAAATCTTACAGCCAGCTACAACAATGGCTGTCCTTTTACGATGGTGAGTGTCAGTTTGCATACAAAGTGTGATAGAATATTTTTGCACATAGAACCAGTGTGATTAACTTTATGATAAAAAAAATAATGAAAGGTTTAATTTATTCATTATTCACAGCTCAGTTTTGTAATCTCTCTGTGGATGGCTGGATAGCTTGTCATGGAAAGCTGTATTTATTCAACTGTATTTGATAAACTGAACTGCTCAAGCAGTCGAGATGTCTGTGTTTCAAAAGGAGCCGATCGGGTCACCATAACCAGCCAAACAGAACAGGCAAGTCAGAAAAATGTTAAATGAATTGATACTAGATGTAAGTGTAATGAAAGCAAAGAACTTGACTTACAGGTGATGGGTGTCATATCTAGGTTTTTGTTCATGGTTTCAGTTCAGGTCTTTTATGTTATTAGTTCTGGACTCTCATTGGTTCATGTTCATTTGCCTAATCTTGTTTAGCATTCCCATTTTGTCTTTGGTTGTTTGTCATGTGATTACCCCTGTTTGTGTATTTAAGCCCTCATGTTTGCTTTACTTTGTTATGTATTGAAGTATGTTGCTTCTTGTGTCAGGTCATTGTTTAGTATCAAGTCATGCTCAAGTTTGTTTCGTTTCACATCATGGATTAAGTTCTTAGTTTATATTTTTGGGTCAGCACCATTCTAAATCAACTGCATTGGGGTTCTCTACCCCATGTGTGATTTAAAAAAAAAAATAAATACTGTAAAGTTTGTGTTTTTGAATCGATTTTTAATTGTCTTAACTTTTTTTAAAGTGATTTCCTCTGTTGCAAAACCACCAGTTATTTATTTTCATTTTACTTGATTTACCTTAACCAAAGGCATTATTGCTTGTTTGTGTCTACAAGGTTCTGGTTCAGAGAGGGGCAGAGAGAAAACAGGATCCATCTGCAGATGACTGTGCAAGTGTGGAAGATGAGAAAGGCAACTTTCAACAGAAAAGGTTTAGCTATGAAAATAAATATTAATTTACCTATATCAGTGATACTGTATGACAGGAACTCAGACTCCGGCCACAGACGAGTTAGAATCAAACAGGTGGGTAATCAGACAATGTGACTGAGTGAACTGTGTGCTCTTATAGTGCAGGGTGCTGATTGGTGATGATTGTCAGGTGTGCGTGCTCAGAACTCGGGTGATTGTGATCGCTGATAGGCCTGGTGTGTCCATGACAGACACATAATCATCATTGATGATAACAATGATAGTGGGGTACTTTTTTGGTTTGTCAAAGTAAAATTTTTGCATAACAGATGCAATTGCTGGTATATGAAAGCAAATTTATCCAGGTCTAAAAATATTTATGATGCTTATAGGTGATTTAACAACAAATACAACCATGCAAATCGATTAGCTAAATATTAGCCTAACTTGGTAGCTATTTTTTCCAAAAGGTCAACTATGGGGCAAAGCGTGTGTGACATTCTATAACACCCTGTGACTCTTTGTACCCCTTTGTATGCACCAACATTACATCATAATCACAAGATATTATTTAGAATAGCTGTTTTCCTTAGCTGTATCGTTCCATTTCCACAGTTTCACTTCCTCTATTACCTATATAAATAAACCCCTCACAGACTTGGAACCTTGAGTAAACCACACTTCTTGTGTCTGTGTCCTTCTGGTCCCGGGTACCCGCATCTGTGCTCCATCACTCAACCTGATCTAATCTTCTCAAACAATTTATTTTAACAGTTGTGGGCTCGTCCGGGAAGGGGGGATTATCCCTGTGAACCGGGAAAAGCACGCCAGAGATCAGGAAAGGACCTACAATAAAGGGGGTAAGTGTTTTTGGATATTTCTTAAAAGAAATACGAAACTTACCCCTGATCCGTTAGTGGTACTTCTGTTCCGTTGTTGTTACACTTCGGCTGGCAACAGTAATTATTTGATCATTATTAACGTGAGACGAGTGATTGAATGTACAATACTGATCACACTGTATTTTTGATCACGGCAGCATGCATTATTTATTAGGACCACCTAAGTAAAATATGGCTCAACTTACCCCACTCTCCCCTACATGTGCAGAACAAAATTGGATTTGGATTTGCTTACTTTTACCCAACTAAATGCAGCATATCTCCTGTTCTGACTTTTAATGGATTTATGAAGCAGATTTACCTAATAAAACAAAAGCTTCTAGTTTTGATAGCTCTCACATCACTCTTCTTGCAGTCAGTTTTAACATCAAAAGGACAGAACATACATATAATTATACCTTATTTCATTTAATATTTTATTGACTATCACATATTCAAACAGATTTGTTATTGAGACATAACATCCTGTCTGTATTAATAAGAATTACACTTTATGTGACTTCCTTATTCTCCGCAATCTCAAGCAGCACTCAAGTCTCAGTGGACACGTCTTCTGTCAAGAAATGGACTCTAGTTTCATGTATTCAACAGTTGATTCAGATGAAATACACTCTCAGTACAAAGGTAAGGATGGGGATATTATCAGTATTCATTACAATTTGTAATTATATCACTGTAGTAACTGTATAAAAAGTTTTTTTTTTAACAATTACACATTTAGGAGATGCTTTATTTATTTCAGACCATTTTGCATTTAGCAGATTATTTTATCCAAATCCAACTTACAAAAAGAAGAACAAAGTAATTCTGTCAAAGAGCCAACAACATTCGTAGTACACAATGCCAGGGTTATTAGACAAGATTAGGAAGCAGGCTATAGAGAAGAGGAGAAAATATGCAGATAATATTTATGCGTCACATTAGTTAAGAGTGGGCGGGGTGAGGTGGTTAAGTGCTTGCAGAAAAGGTTGTGATGATCTCAGCAGTTCGGTCAGCAAGGGTGGATAGGTGGATCTGGTGATTAACTGTGTCAAAGGCTGCAGACAGGCCACACAGAATAAGAACAGATGATTTGGAGGTCGCTCTTGCCAGTTGAAGAGTTTCAGTAAAGGTCAGCAAGGTGGTCTCGGTGGAGTGTTTACTTTTGAAGCCAGACTGGTTTCATCAAGTAGGTTTTTCTGGGAGAGAAAAGCAGAGAGTTGATTGAACACGACTCTTTTAAGAGTTTTTGATAGAAAAGGCAGAAGAGAGCCTGGTCTGTAGTTTTCACCTGCTGTGGGATGGAGCAGTGCGGTTACCCGAGTCTGCTTAAATGCTGTGGGAAATTTGCCAGTGGTGAGGGATGTTTTGATGTGGGTTAGAGCAGGTAACAATGTTGGTAAGATCTCCTGTACCAGTTGTCATTAAAGCCTTTGTTTCATTAACAGAATAATATTTACTAAAAAATAGGTTTACTAAATTAATATGAGTAACGAATAGGCTTTAATGTGTAAATTTTTGGTTTTCGTTACTTTAATTTACTTGGAAGTAAAACAATTAAACAAATTAAAACAATCATTTTATATATGCTTTGACTTGGGCTAATTCGAGCGGGAAATTCGAGCATGGCGCATGTACCAGTCATGGTGAGAGAGCTTGCAGCCAACTACAGCATAGTTGGAGAACGACTGTCTTTTTATGAAGGTGAGCTGATTCCAGACCCTTTCAGACAGCGTTTGAACATTTCTGTACTATTTCAAGTATGTCATGGTCTGAAGAATGGATAAATTTTCATATGCTTTTATTTCAGCATTTACAGCTCAATCTTTGAACTGTGATATGAGCTTGGTATCTTTTCATGGAAAGTTGTACTTCTTCAGCTCTAATAAAATGGACTGGTCAAGCAGTCGGGCTTTCTGTGTTTCAAAAGGAGCTGATCTGGTCACCATAACCAGCCTAACAGAACAGGTGGGAAATTTTTAAGTAATCACTGTTGGTTGTGCACTCAAAGAACTTTGTATTTTTAATCTGTTAAAACACAATATTCAGAAACAGAATTGCACTGTTGTTGTTGTTGTGGTTTTTTAACAAAATGCACAAGCATAAAAAAGTGTATTATTACAAATTCTGTGTTTTTAGCTTATGAAGATTTTGAAAAATGTACCTTTTCTCTTTTAGCTGTTTCTGGCCTCTAAAATTAAAGATACATACTGGATTGGTCTCAATGATCTGGACACTGAGGGACTTTGGGTTTGGGTGAATAACCAAACTCTCAATGAAACTGGAGTACTGTAAGAAATACTGCAATTATTTGTTTAGCAATATATTTAAAATATTGTTTTTTTTAATCAAGTGTATTATTATGATTTATCATGGTACTCAAACATTAAAATATTTGCAACAATGGAATATTTTACAAAAGCTTACAAAATCTACAAAATATTACTGTAAGGAAGAATATTATTTTATATCTGATCGCCTGTTTCTGCTTTTGAAGGTTTTGGCACGGGAGAGATTCTGAGATAAGTGAACCTGATAACTGGAAAGAAGAGGATCTTACTGGAGAAAACTGTGCACTTGTGAACAACTATTTCAACTATTTAAACAATTGGTTTGATAGTTCTTGCAATTCTAAGAGGAAGTTTATCTGTGAAAAGAAATCATTTACCTCCATCAGTGATGCTTAACAAGGTCTATTATGTATATGCACAGAAAACAAGGCTCTTTTGGATTTATTTACTCATGTCAGATTAAAAATGCATTTTTTTCTCCAGTGATTGAACTGAAGCTCAGTTATTATGTATCCTGTCATTTTGATTTTTATTTAAGTGCTTAAGTATCCTTTATGAAACTGCTGTGCACTCAAAAAATATTTAGGCCTAAATGTAAGATTCATATATTTGAATTGCATATAAAATTTCTGCCCATTTGGCTTACACATTTTTAACAAACTAATAAACTTAATGTGATGCATATTTGTCAGTCAAATCATGGCATCATTTTTGAAATGCATGAATTCAAATAGCTGAGAACCAGCACAAACATGTTCATTGTGAAAATTACATTTATTCAGTTAAAAAGTATAAACATGGTTAAAATATGGCTAGCTGTGGATCAAGCAATACTCAGTTGGTTACAATGTATGAGATTGAAACCAATTGGATTTATTGATGATAAACACATAAGGTTCAAGGTTCTTTATTTGTCACCTACATATACATGTGATGCAATGTAGTGAAATGATTTTTCCATAGTTTCTCATCCCACAATGCAAAAATACTAACAACAATAATATAAAAAAAATTTTTTATATTATTGTTGAAAAAAAGAAAAATATATAAAGCCATAAACATAAATAAGATCGATACAGTGCAAATTATATATTTAATACTAATAAAATACTAATAAAAGTCTGCAGACTCATTCAGTGTCGTTATAATAGTCGGATTGCCTGAGGATAAAAATTCCTTCTCAGTCTCTCTGTGTTGGTTCTCAAAATCTGGTATCGCTTCCCTGATGGGAGCAATAACAGTAAACTGTGTCCAAGATGACAAAAGTCTTTAATAATTATTTTAGCCCTGGTCCTGCATCTCTGAATATACATTTTTGACATTTTTGATGTCAGGGAGCGAGGTCCTGATGGCTTTCTGTGCTGACCTTACAACTTGTCAATGCTTTCTGATCATGGTCCGTTGTACTTTCAAATCAGGAGATAATGCTCCCTGTGAGTAGGCTTTCCACGGCTCCAGTATAAAAAGTCCTCAACACTTTCTGTGAGACCTTGAACCTAGCCAACTGTCGTAAGTAGTAAATATGTTGATTTGCACTCCTCACAAGGTGATCTATATGCATTTTCCCCGGAAAGATCTTCTGTGAGATACTGTATACTCCAAGATATTTAAAACTGCTCACCCTTTCAACTGTGGCCCCACCGATCATCAAAGGGCTGTAATTCCTCACTTGCTTCCTCCCATAATCGATAATCATCTCCTTAGTCTTAGCAACATTCAAAGAGAGATTATTAATATGACATCACGTGAAGAGAGCATCCACTTCCTCAGGGTAGGCCTTCTCATCGTTTTTACTAATAAGGCCAAAACCACGGTGTCATCAGCAAACTTCACCAGTTTGTTAGAACTGTGTTTAGCCATGCAGTCGCTGGTATAATGAGACTAAGAGAGTAAAGCACAGGACTGAGGACACAGCCCTGGGGGGCTCCAATGTTGAGGGTGAGTGTAGAGGAGGAGTAGTTTCCCATTCTAACCACCTGGGGGTGTCCTGTCAAAAAGTCCATGATCCAGTGACAAATGGAAGAACTCAGCCCTAAATCTTGAAGCTTTTTGCAGAGGTTTAAGGGAACAACACTGTTAAAAGCAGAGCTATAGTCCACGAAAAGCATCCGCACATAGTTCCCTTTCCCCTGATCCAGATGTGAAAGAGCAGAGTGCAAAATATAGTTAAAAGCATAATCTGTAGAACTATTAGGCCTATGTGCAAACTGTAAGGGATCCAGACCGCTGGGGAGAGAGGAACAAATATAAGCTCTGACCAATCTTTCAAAACACTTCATTATTACAGAAGTGAGGGCCACAGGATGATAGTCGTTCAGAGAGGCAGGACAAGGGATTTTAGGGACTGGGATAATAATTGAAGACTTAAAACTTCTGGGAACTGGTTCTAATTGACTAGCACAGACTTTAAATACACGTGCAGGGATATTGTCTGGTCCACATGCTTTCCTGATGTTAATTTTGTATAGTTCTTTTCTAACATCCATTTCAGTAATGACCAGATCTTCATTTTCTCTTACCAAGCCCAAGATCCCATCTTTTAAATTTTCCCCATCTGTACTAGAATTACTAGCCTCAAATTGTGAATAAAATATATTTAAATAATTAAATAAGGAACCACTGGCATTAATTATAGAAGAGGATCTGGGTTTATATTCTGTTACAATTTGCATACTCTGCCGTAGCGCCCTAGAATCAGCCTGTTCAAATTGAGTCTCAATCTTGGCAAACTTGGTTATTGTGTATTTAAAATACATTGTTTATTAGTACTAAACTTACCTGTTTCTTACCCGTTTCATCTATGCATGACTGCCAAATATGCATCATGTTAAGTTTATTAGTTTATTAGTTAAGACTCTGTAATCCAAATGAATGGAAATGTTATATGCAATTCAAATAAATCTTAAATTTAGGCTTACATATATTTTGAGTGTGTTGAGCAGCCTTGTGGTTCTCGTCTTGGTAAATCTTCTGGAAAGAAACAGTGCTAATTCTAAGTGAAATTTCAGACAGCACTACAAAATGGCCAACACCCGATATAGGGGATAGGGAGCGGTTTCGGACACACAGCTCATGACAAACTGTTTGGATAAAGCCTCACTGCTTGTGAAGTTCCTTATACGTCATTTTAATGATACTTAAATGACTAAATGTAATTTAATAATGTTATTTTATAACTGTCTGATATTGGTTTGATTGGGCAACACATCTGAAGTGGTGAAAACAGTAATTAGTATTAAAACATACACTCACACATTATCAATAATAGGACATTGAAAAACAAGTAAGAGTACCTAACTTGCAGTAACTTAGCATTTAGTCTTTGAAAACATAGCAGGAATTGTATTGTATTGCAGTCATTTTGATATATAAAAGCCGAAAAGTTTCTTAATATCCATTCAATTAACAAAGCAGAACTGAAGTTATACTGTTATATTTCATAAGATAATATAAGTGAGTGAAATTTTTGCCTTATGCAAGCACTTATATCAATGACTGAATGTAAAAGGAAATAAATAACTTTTGAGCTTTAAGCACTAAAATATCAAGTATAAAGGAATCAGTTACTGAATGCAGAAAACCTGTATGTCAAGCACAAAAAAACAAACCGAAAGTGCTGTTATTTTATGCTCAGTAACCTGTACACGAAAATAATAATTCTAAGAATATTAAACTTGTAAGCAAGAAAACAAGTCTGATGCATGCAAGAATCAGAGCAATCACTGTACAGTATAAATGCAAGGAGGACAAGACCAATCCCCTTCAATACCACGACTGAGGTGCCCTTGAGCAAGGCGCCGAATCCCCAACTGCTCCCCGGGCGCTGCAGCAAAAAACATGGCTGCCTACTGCTCCGGGTGTGTGTTCACGGTGTGTGTGTGTGTTCACTGCTGTGTGTGTGCACTTTGGATGGGATAAATGCAGAGAACTAATTCCGAGTATGGGTCACCATACTTGGCCACATGTCACATGTCACGTCACTTAAAATATGCATGTAAAAAAATTATTAATAGCAGTTTAACATTTGAATATCATTGCTGTTATATTTTGAATACTGAAGATTCTAATAAGTCAATGTTAAATGTTAAATTTCTTATAAAGTACAAAAGTAGAGAGCAAAAAAAGACTAATATGATCTACTAAACAAAGTCTGTGCATTAACCACTTAAGGCCAAATTAATTGCAGAAGTTTAAGAATAATCACTCGCTGGAATGTTTTAGGAATATCGTTACATTGCAGCTATAGCAGCCATGCAGTTCTGAGCAGTTATCTGCTAGAAATAATTATTAGCTTGATGTAAAACATAAGGAAAATGTGAAATCTACACTCTAAAAAAATGCTGGGTCATTTCAACCCAACTTTGGGTCAAATATGGACTAACCCAGCTTTTGGGTTAAAAATGTAATTAAAAAAATTAACCCAACGTTTGGGTTAGTCCATATTTGACCCAAAGTTGGGTTGAAACAACCCATCATTTTCTGTACGTTTTGTATGTGTCCAGAATAAATTGTGTGAGTGGCGTGATAGCATTTTCTCAAAGCATAGCCAAATAATCCTAGTCAATAAGAAACTTGATTATATCATATCATAAATCATATTTTCCCCCTACATTTCTGAAGATATATGTAAAGAACAAGCCTTTAACAGAAAG